TCCTTGTCTTCTGCCGCTTTCATTTGGTGAACTCCTTCGTCCTGCTGCACTTCCGTGTCGCTCATCGCTTTGACAACTTCTTCTCTCGCCTCGTCCTCTTTGACCCCTTCTCTCGCCTCACCCTCGACCTCGTCTCTCGCCTCTTCGTTCACGTCGTCCTTCCTCATCTCATCTTCCTGTATCTCCTCTTCTCTAGCCGCTTCTTCTGATTGCTCCTTCCTCATGTCAGCTTCCTCTACCTCCTCTTCTCTCACAGCTTCTTCTGCTTGCTCATTCCCCATCTCAGCTTCCTCTACCTCCTCTTCTCTCACTGCTTCTTCTGCTTGCTCATTCCCCATCTCAGCTTCCTCTACCTCCTCTTCTCTCACAGCTTCTTCTGCTTGCTCATTCCTCATCTCGTCTTCCTCAACATCTTCTTCTCTCGTCTCTTCTGCCTCCTCCGTTCTCGTCTCATCATCCTCGATCTCCTGTTCTCTCATCTCTTCTTCTGCCTCCTCCTTCATCTCAGCCCCCTCCCCCTCATCTTGCAGGCCATGTTCCTCAACCTCATGTTGCCTCACGGGCTCCTCTTCCTCTTCTTGCTTCAACGCCTCTTCCTCCATCTCCTCTTTCACGCCATGCTCTCCCTCCACTTCTCTCGCCTCCTGTACTTCTGCAGCCTGCTCAGCCTCTCCTCTTAGGCTCTCCTCTTCTTGCACGCCTGTCGCTTCCAGCTGCAACTCGCCTTGCACCTCTGTTTCTTCATGGGCTTCTTCCGTCTGCTTCACCTGGGCTTCGATCTAAATTTCGGGTTTTCTAATGTGAGCACGCAATATCATAAGCCTGACACCTGAGACACAATCAAACCTGATGTTAAGAGGGTCTGCCCAAACCAATGCAAAGAATCCAAAAACCGGCCGAAGCCATGTATGGTTGGGACTCTCCCCAACGGGCCGGCCCTTAGGGGCAGGCAAAGGAGGGGAAGTGGCCGCGATCGGCCGCGTTTTGGGCTCACAGGGCTTCCGGTTCAAGGGGACCCGGGGGTTGGATCATGCCAAGGTGAACCCTCAAAACCTTGCTGGGATTTGTTCCCGGATAAGGGTTCTCCACCGAGCGTTAGACGTGGAGAACATCCAAATACCCAAAATGGGCTGGCTGGCCAGGTTAAGGCACTGAGCAAGACAAGTTCCACTTCTTCTTTGCCCCTTGGAAACCCCAAAAACAGATACAAGTGCAGCTTATATATTTTGTCCTTGCCTTTAGTTTGGAATTCTCCGAAAGTAACTTCCTCTTTGGCCCCGTTGAGTTGTTTAATGCCTGCCACGTGTCCGGCTCATCCTCCACTTCCGTCACTTCAGTGGGAGGTTCCAGAGGTGTCGGTAGCAGCGTCTGCTCCGCCTTTCGCAGCAGTTTTCAGCCGCCCCCCAACCCCGCCGCCCACTGATGTGAGTCACAATCAAAACCCGGTGCTCAAATGGTCCATGTAAAGAATTAAGAAGGCGGCCGCAACTATTTCTGGCTGGGACTGCCCCTTACTAACCTTCATCTACCCGGGTTTTGCTTGTGGCTCACTTGGCCGTTAGAAGGCTTTCCATGGCTCCATGGCTCCAGGGTTGACATGATACGCACCAAGCTGCCTTCTTTACACTTCCTGAGCGGGTTTGCCCACAAAGTGACCAACCTGCTTGCCAAAATTGCCCAAACCCCAAAACTCGGTTGACTTTGGAAGGGGAGCAAGGATCTATATGGTAGCAGTTCAGTGGGGATTGCCCACTAAACCACAATACGCAAAAACGCAAAATGCTTCCCAACAACAAACCTGAAAAGTGAATCTGGAGCCCATGAACCGCAGGGAGTGAGTCTTCCACTGATCTGGAGATGGAGACCCTCTAGCCCAGCGCCGGAAAGCGAAAGGGAAGCCAAAGATCAGGAACCGTGAGGACGTGCCAAAGCGCATGCAGCAGGGCGCCACTTTTTGACTACCAAGATAGACTTAAACCCGGAACTTCTCCTTTTGGGGGAACGACCCACCCCTGGGTTTAAGTCTACTGGGTAGTTCAAAAGTGGAACCCTGGCTCGCAGGGGCTCCCTATGTTTCCTTGGCGCGATCGGCGGGTTTCCGCCTCATAAACCATCCAACCGGTGGCTTCCTCCAGGGGAATCTCTGGAGAACTGCCCTCACCCCCTGCTGAGCACCAGCAAGTTTCCGCCCTTTAGGTGGCCCCAAAAAAAGAACACGGATTGGTCTCATTCATTGCCAATTGAATTGAGCTTTGCGGCGATTGCTCGGGAAAACATGGCGTAACATGGTTGCCCAGCTTTTTTTTATGGAGCCCGGCAGTTTGGGGTGGAGCTTAGATGGTTGCCCATTCGCCCTCAAGAACGGGTTCAAAGCCCCACGCGAATCCAAACCGACAAAAGCCCCAAAAGCAAAAACATTTACCCCTGACACTCTCCAACCTGCATGGGCTTGTCTCCAAAATAGGCGATCCCCACCAAGTGATCAACTCCCTCATGCTGTTGTCCATGTAAGGCCGCCAAAAGGGGCATCGCATGGTTGGGCGTACATGAGGGATACATCCTCCTCCCACCAACAAAGATGGAAGTGCACAGATCGCTTTTGGAAGAACACTTCCCTTCTGGCGAGGGCTCCACGCACTTCCATGCTTCCATGCGTCCCGTTAACCTCCGCCCCGAAGCTGGAGGGGTATTTGGTTGTCCGCGCACCCCTACAAGAAGCGCCAATGTGTTTAAACACATCTAAGCAACATCCCCTCTGCTCGACTAGTGGAACTGCCGGTCGTGTCAACCGATTTCGCCCCCCTCCCCACCCCCCCCCCCCCCCCGGCGCACTTGGCGCTGACCGCCCCCTTGCGTGCCTTGCTCTTGCGCCGCACCTCCTTTTGCCTCACTTGTCCAGACAATTTTGGAGACTATTCCAGTAAGTTCAACTGGGGAAGTGACTTGGCGGCCGCCACCCCCTGCCCAAAAATGGGTGAATTCTGGGCTCCTTCCGTTCATCTGGGGTTTGATTATTTGCGGCATTTGTCGAGAAAAGCCGCACAGAACTGTACTCCAAATAGCAGCCAACGGCGACGCAACAAAAATGGCGAGGTAAGTCAGCTGGCAGCTGAGATGATGAGGCAAGGCAGAACCCGGCAGCAAATCCCAAAGTTTGAAAGACAAGTCCTGCTTTCATCCCCAAACCTAGGATTGGCTAAACATTCTCTTGGTTCATCTCAGCCAAGATGTCTTGACCCTAGTGGTCCACCTTCCGAGGGATGGGAACAAGGCAAAGGACATCGAAGGACATGGGTTTCAAGTGCCCAAAGGGCAATTGGACTCTTTTTCCCTCGGAAAGTGCTGTTTGATCACGTGGGGGTGTCTTTTGTTTATAAGGGGACGTTCTTTTTTGTGAAAACCAATTTACTAAAAAGCAAACCAAAACAACAAACAACGCAAACAACAAGGCATATTCTTACACAAATACCAGCACCCCCCAACCACTGCTGTTGCCCATGTCCAAAATCCCCATCCTTCAAAAGGCAGTGCTTGGACAGTTGCCTCAAACATTTCTCGCCCCCGCCTCCCCACGACCTCGGCTTTGCGCGGCCGAGCTGCTCCAGGCGCCTCAGCTGCGTCTCGGTGGCCTTGAGCTGCGCCAGCTGCGCCTCCTGCTCCTCGGGGTTTTATTTTTTTATTCCGCGGCGCGAGCGTGCGCGAAGGCTGGTGGCTTGGAGGTTTGGAGCGTGTTCCGGAAAAGCTTCCCGGGTCCTCCAGTGGAGAGGTTAGAATATTAGAATAAGGGTACCTGATCTTTTTTTCTGTAGGTTAGCCCGGTAGATTTTGGTGGCAGGGCTGTGGGAAATGGAATCCACTGTGGTACAACAGAAAGGGCTTCTGAAAAAACTAACCCCCCATTTTGTTGGGGGAGAAAGTATCACGGAAGTGGGGATAAACCCCTTGATCCCACAACCCTGGTTGGTGGTGTTCCGGAAAAGCTTCCCCATTTACCGTCCAGAACCAGGGGTTCAAATCCAATTCCAAACCACCAATATAGCTGATGAGAAGCTTCGTTGGGTTGGGGGGGGATTGGTGGACGCTTGTGGGTCTACGTTGAAGCCACCTTTGTTACGTTTTGGATGTTTGTGTTTTGGGGTTCTTGGCTGCAACAAAACATTAAGTGTCCACCATCCTCCCCCCCACCCCACAAATAAAGTGGAAGCAAGAAGGGTCGGGCTTTGCGACTTCGAGTTGAAGGTCTCTGGTTGGTTTTTAGGTCAGGTTGGTGAGTCCTTATGTCCGTGAATGTTGAATATAAGGGGCCACCTCAAAAGTGGTTGGTGGACATGAACCCCCACCAAATTCTGATGCCCACTATCTCTTGGGGGCGTTCAGCTTCAGTCGACGGCAGGGTTGAGATGGCAACTTCCTCCCTGCTGCTCAGTTCCGGAAAAAAGAAAGTGCACCCCCCTAACCCCCCCCACCCCCCAATCCCCCTTAACCCCTCAACCCCCCCCCCCCACCCCCACCCCTCCGACCTGTCTCCCCACCTCCCCGCCTCCCCGGCCCCCCGGCCCCTTCTTTTCTGCGAGGCTCCGCCTGGCGCCTCCGCAACTCCTCCAGACCCTTGAGCCGTTCTCGGAAGAGCCGCTCCACCTGGCCCCAAGCCGCGCCTCTCGTCTCAAAAAACTTCCCATTTTGGCCTCAGGCCCCCAGGAAAAATACGATTCTTTTCCAGTAGTGCTGAATTCCTTTCAAAACCAAAGGGACAATGCAACACTATCCTTAAGCAAACGGAGGAAAATGGGAAGAAGGATGGTTTTGATTTTGTTTTGCTCAACTGGATGTCAAGTAGAGGCTCTGAGGATGAGCACGTATCACCCTTTGGCGCCCCAGGAAAAAACCAACAATGACCCTTTCTTTGGGTCCCTTCCGAGTTGCTCTGTGACTCTGGCAGGAAACCGGAACCAACCTTGGTTTGGGGTTGACTGTTGACCATTTTGCCGGTGTGTTCCCAACCCGCCTGGCCAAACCGGCAAAAAAAAGGGCGCCACTGAAGAACCTGGCTATCCCAAACCCAACGACAACCCCACGAAAAGCTGCTGAAAGCCCCAGAAACGTGCAGAAACCCCCGCAAACAACCTCCAGACCCGAAAACAAAACAAAACAAACAACTCCCCCCCACCCCCCCCCAAAACAAGCAAAGAACAAACAATCACCCACCAAAATCGCCGAACCCGAAACCAAAACCATAGCCATGGGTTCCAAACCCTGCCCGAGTCCCGCACCTTGGCGCCCTCAGCGCTCCTTGCCTTTTGCAAGCTTCCTGGGTGACCGACTCATGGCGTTGACCGGGCTTGGGTGGGGCGCAACTCGGTTTTGCCGAATCCCGGGGTCACTAGAACTGAGCGCGCTTTTGCCATGATGATGATGATGATGATGATGATGATGATGATGATGATGATGATGATGATGATGAGGATGACGATGATGACGATGATGACGATGATAGATGTTCGGACATATATGGTCGCCAAAGGACAAGTGGGTGGTTGCAGGTAATCACAGCGAACATCTCAACACGAGAATTGCTCCAAACTTTCTGCGCACGAGCTCATAGGACACAAGGGAAGGGAGCACTAGACACAACTGCACCACGGTTTGACACAGCATCCATCCGTCGTAAGGGGTTCATTCACAGGAACTCAGCTATCCGATGAACAAGTTCGGATAGTTTCAGGGAAATAACTTGGTGCTGGGTGACCTTATTGGCTCAGAGAAAAACTGATGAGTTGGTCCTTGGTATTGAAGACCCAGTTGGTTCGTCCAAATGTCCACCGAGTTTGTGGGGTAGCCACCTTCATGAAGCTAATAGCAGCAAGTCGAACCAAAGATCTGCTTGAGGAAGCGCTTCCAACAGCAGACATTGGCGGCCGACCCCCAAAAATGAAGCCTATTGGCACCGAAGATGGTTTCCACTACCCTCAAACCACTACCAAGGAGGAACGGGTTGGGAGGTAGTGGAAGCCCATCTTAGCTGCTCTCCCTTTGCACCCTGATTCTTGCAGTTGCCCTCCGTCCCAACACGCACGTCTCAAAGCCGGAGCTCCCATTCGAATTGGGGCAGGCCAACCAGGCGTCTCGCCAACCGTGAATGGACAGGGTTCCAATCATCCATGAGAAACGGGGCAATGATACCAGTTCTGCTTAACCCACCCAGTATCACCCAGTGATTCCCCCTTCTCTCAGGTTCTCTTACCTTGAGGTTCTCATGATTTCCCCTGACTTCCCCGTATTCACAATGGGAGCTGGAAGCGCTGAATGGGCTTCTCGACTCTGGCGCCGAAGGGCGGATTTCCTCTCGCAGCCGCTGCTCCTCCTCATGCTGCTGCTCCTGGGTTCGTGTTTGGGAAAGCACAGGACCCCACACTGCAGGAGAAGTTCATAGAACACTTCCTGAGGCGAGGCTAGTGTACAAACCCTCACGACGTTTCTTTTAAGGGATGGGGGGGTTGCCCTTCCCACTGAACCAGCTGCACCCTGTTCGTTTCCTAAATCCAATTTCTTTGACATCAATACATCAAACAAACAGCTAATCCATGTGGTCTGCCCCGAAGCTTCTTCGGCTTTCGAGAGCCTTCTTGCCACCGACCACGTTTTCTGCATTTCACCAAAAATGAAAGCCCCACACCTAATTCCTACAGAAGATAAACATAAACCCTAAACAACCTACATCTAGACCCTACAAACCCTAAACCAAGGCTCTAAAACTCCCCAAACCGACGCCCTTAACCTAAACCACAAAAGCCAACCTAAAACCCTAAACCTAAACCGGAAAGTTCTAGATCTATAAACCTTAAAGTGAAAAAAACCCGAAACCTAAACCCTCAAAACCAGAAATCTAAACCCCAAAGAGCCTAAACCTAAACCTCATCAGAAAGCACCCCCAAACCATGCATTGGGGATAGACATGGGCCAATACTAAACCAATGTCAAACAAACACAACCCGTATCTGAAAAGTGTGGCCCCAACTAGCTCATTCAGATTAACTTATTTGCCAGCAACTTCCGTCCCAGCAACTGCCGTATTTCAGTGCGTCCCACTCTACCACCAGAAAGGAAAGCAACATTACCAGTGTTAAAAACGGTTTGGATGTGCTTTTTGTGGAGTTCTTGTTTAGTACTCATTTAGTACTCGTTTCATATCCTACAGGGTGGATCCACAAAAGCCACATCCAAACCGTTTTGTAGAGTGACCCTACTTGAAACCAAGAGTCAAAAGAGACTTGCCCTACTGACCCCCATGACAAACCTCGCGAATTAAAACAAAAGTGGCCAACCATCCTGAACATGTGCCAGGCCAACCATCTCAACGACTTCACCACGCATGGCCATGAATGAGCCATGGGCAATACCAGTCCCACGTAGATTTTGGTTTCCACCAAAAAGCCCGATGTGTATGTGTGTGTGTATCCAAATGTGATAGATCCCCTTTACAACTAGGGGCAAATCCAGACATCCTCTTCAACAAATCGGCGTGTCTCTTTAGGATTTGGGCCTCGTGGATTTCAGGAAACCCGCTGGGTGTCCGTTGAAACCACCCCAATGGAAACCCCTCACCCAAATGGGTGTGTCTTAAAACAAGGGACCCCCACCCAAAAAAGGGTTGTTCTGTTGGTCCCCCTGTAAACAACCACCCTCAAACAAACACCCCAAATCGAGGAGACGGCTTCAAGGGTTTAGGCTTCCGGGTCGAGCAGTCGCGCCTGGCGCTGCTGCTCGTCAGCCAAGCGCTTCTTGGTGTCCTCGCTCCAGGCCCGGAGTCGGTGGCTTCTCGATAGGTGAGAAGGGGGACCCCTCCCATTCGTCTCATGTGAGCTCATGTAGCTTTTTGCACCCCTGGGCCTTTTGGGCCTCGCCAGTTTTTGGCCTTCCCTATCAGGCAGTCAGGCAGTGAATTGCAGATTTTGCTCAAGGGTCGACTGACTTGCTCAAGGCTGCAGTCTTTGATGTTTCCCTGGTTTTGTAGGTGACGGAGGGAACCAGCCATTGCAAGTCAGAAGGAAGATTGCTTACCTATACTGAAAATTGGGATCCAATTCGGGGGCTTTCTTTGACTTCCTGTCAACATGGTACCTATCGCAAGGAAGCAATAGCATCCAAGAGTACCTTCTATGGTAGTAGCACTACAGGGGCCCACCTTGCAGCGAATGTCGTCATGTCTTATTCAACCTAACCCCGCGGAAAATTGACATATGCTTTTGAGAAAGCCACGCAACCATCACCAATTGCTGGCAAGTGTGAAGCGAATGTTTTGGCGTCCAGGCGATGCGACTTGCAAACCATTCTGGGTCACGAATTCTGGAGGGGAATGGGACCCCTGCGGATCTGTGCTGTTTGCAAGGCTTCTGCGCAATCGGTTGCCAGACCCCTGCCCCCTGCCGAAAAAAACAACGACCGGGCACGTTCGGGTCAAAATAATAGACCGACCCCCCCTCTTCAGCAGGAACCCCTTAATGTTGACAGTTGACCCCAAATTAATCAACCCCAGACTATTAAGAGGGGTGTTCCCCTCCAAAAGTGATGATTCCCCACTAAACCCAGATTGACACCGCCCAATTAAGAAACAGCTTGGTTGATTCATCCGGGGTCAACATTATAGCTTTCAGCCACGAGAAGCCCAAACAAAAGCATTCTGAAGTGCAGGGGCGGGCCACCTTTTTTCTGGTCTCTCTGACCGGGCGCCTTCGGCCGCGAGCGCTTGCCCGCGATGGATGAGCCAATCCAACCGTCGGGCACCCCGTCCTCGGAGTCCAGCTTGGCCAGCAGTCGCTGATGCTTCGCCTCCTGCGCCTCCTTGCCCTGCAGGGCCTGGCGTTTCGCGCTTAGCGGCTTAGTGGCGGGGGGGGGGAGGGGGTTTCACAATGCCGTGGGTGTTGGGTCTTTTGTTTTTGGGACGTACCCCCCTGTGTAGGTTGGTTCTAAGGTGGGTCCTTTTTTTCTTTTTTGGGACGTAAACCCCTTTGTAGGTTGGTTCTACAGGGCAAGATCTCGCAAAAGTTATCCCTGTTCAGCGGTTAGAGGGGTGGTGGGTGAGAGGGACACCATCCCAGTTTCTGACTTTGATAGCCCCAAAGAAAAAGTCAAAACAATGACCGCATGAAAACCACACAGAACACCTGCATTTCCTTTTAATTGATTGATTTACTTGTTATCATTCATTTGCTTATTATCAATTTTATTTGTGTTGTGTTGTGTTTTCTTTGGGGGGGAACACACCCAAATAATTGCACGGGCTCAAAATCACAATCGGGTTATGGGGTTCTGAGGGTATATATTCAATGCATTGGGGAGGCAATGCCAAAATGTGTTTAATTATGGAATGGGGTTGTGGGGTACGTTAAAACCATGTTTAGCCATGAATCTAGGGGTAAGTCACCAACTATTACTATCTCGCCCCTTCATTGTGACCCGAGTCCTTATACGAATGGTCCCCTAAAGCTGGTTGGTTCCTTTGGGCTTCCCTTTGAGCACCGACCAAAGCGTGCTTTTCCAGCATTTTGAGAACCCCGCAAACGGGAGGGGAAAAAAGCGAGGGAGCCAGAGAAGCCTTGGGAGAGCGGACAGGGAAGCGGGGCAAAGAGACAAGCAGGAAGAGCGCAGGCGAAGAAATGGAAAGAGGACACAGCGAAAGAGTGGAGCAACGAGAGGAGCGGGTCAAAAAGAGTAAATCTGGAGAGCAGCGTAGGGTCCCGAGCGTACAAAGCCAGAAGCTAAGCAGCTCAAGCGAGGGAAGAATATTCGGATAACTTTTTTGAGTAGCAAAAGTTTCCAGTAACCGGATCATTCTAGCTGTTTGCACCATTTGTTGCTCGTCTCTTTCAGCTTTTCTTTCCACACTTTTTTCCGCTCGCTTTCTTTCCAGCCTTCCTCCTAGGAAAACTCGGCGAAGATCCCCTCCGGAACCCCAGCCAAGCAAGATAGTAGGGGTCAGCAAATTATGACGTGGGGTTGGGGGGCGGGGGGGAAGGCCGAGCAGGAAGAAGAGCAGAAAGCCTGCCCATCCCCTCCCGAACCAACTCCCTTCTTCCGAACAAGCCTCATCTCCGGGCATATGAGCTGTTTGTTGGTCTGAGTGGTTCGTGACCCTTGCTACAAAATAACCTTTGAGTGGGATAGGTCAACAAAGCCTATATGAAAGCGTAAGGAACAAGTCAACCTTTGAGTGGGATATGTCTGAAATCCCTTTAAACAAGAAGCAAACAACTTAAGGGACCGTATGGCTGAGAACCGTCAAGTGGACTGGGCGGCATTGACCTGGTGAATTTTAGTGACATCCTCAAAATTATCACGTTCAATCGAGTGGATTGGCCGAAGATGGCCCAAGCTTTGTGTTTACTACTGAGATGGTCTTCGCAGAAAGTTGAAAGTCCAGGAACTCAGGGAGTGAGAATGGGCACCTAAAACGGTGAGTCACAGGGGACCCACCGCCCACATGATTCCGAGAAACCCTGACAATGTGTTCACTTTGGACGGCGTGCTTCTTTCTAAAACAAGGGGGGAGTGACTATTGATCATCTCCACTTTGAGAATCTCCACTTTGAGAGTAGTTCTAGAAATCGGTTTGGATGTGGCTTTTGCGGTTCCATCCCTGCAGGTTAAAAGAGTACTAAAAGATTACTAAAAAAGGACCAACAGGGGGAAGAACGGGCGACATCCACAAAAGCCGCCTCCAAAACGGCCTCTAGAGTAAGCTGGTTGGTGCTCAGCGAATGAGGGCATGAACCTGGGGATTCCCGCATAAAGGAAACCAGCTGGATGGAGAAGAAGGGCATCCAATTTTTTGGGTTGGTTGAGTTTAAAGGGGAACCCTTCCCAAAAAAGGAAAAGAGAACAAAGGGCGCCACTGGGCAAGTGGGTATGGACGCTTCATTCTCATTCCATGCGTCTCTCGCACCAAGCTTTGGACCACGCGTGCCTGCTGAAGACGGCTGTTGGTCTCCTCCAGCTGCTTCATCCTTGGGTCAATTCAGCTAGATCCTCCAGTAGAGAGGTTCGAATAAGGGTACCCTTTGTTCGGTAGTCTATTTTAGTAGGGGAACCCTCCCCCAAGAAAGAAACGGTAAAAGGGCACTACTGGGGGACCTAGTCATGGACCTACGGGGGCCATGGCCATCTGGGGCACACAGAAAACTGACTCCAGTCAACGATGCTAACACCCGGGGTTGTGCAAACATGTGAGCTTAGTGCTACGGTCAAAAGTTTATGCAGGTCATGGCAATGCCTCCCTCAACAATGGTTGTCGAACGCCGTGAGAACACCTGCAAACCCTGCACAAATAATGTCTTCAAAGGGCACATATGTCAACGCGTTCTTTCTCAACCAACCTAAGTTGTCCAATACAAAAAGCGTACAATCTTACGTTGGATCATTTGCGCCACACCTATCACAAATACAGGACACCGCAAAAGAGAGCTGATTGCAAGCAATGTGAACGCTGAAAACGTGTTGTTCTTGCGGCATTCAGCCACATGCTGTGAACATGTCCTTCGAATTGTGCGAGAGCCAGGCCTGAGCCGAGCATCAGTTTGGAATGCTTAAGTTGTTGCACTTCAACCGGATGTGCCTAAACAAGCTTGACACTCAGACTATCGGGCATGCTTTGACTTTCTCTTGATGTCCGCATGCTACAGAGTGCTTTGCTGGATTGCTTGAGTCTAAACCTGGGGGTTCCAGCCACTCTGCGAACACCAAGCAGGCAACACAACACAAAAACTGCTGAACACTTTGTCAAAGGCGCTCACCCCGTCCCGCTAAATAAACTGCTTCAACGTGTCAAAGGCTCTTAAGAAGCTGTGTTCACTTGATTTCCCTGGCCGAAGCTTCAGCGAGGAGTTCTTCATCTGCCACACCTCAAGCTCTGCTTCCAGTCTTTCCACCTGAACGAGGGGATGCTGGAAACACGGGAAACAGTCCAGTAGACATAGATTCCCCGTTTAAAACCAACAGGGGAAAATACCATTAAACACATATTGAGCAAACGAAAACCCTATATTGTCACCTCAGCTCGAGTGAATTCAGGGAAAGTAACCACACTTCTTGTTTGCCGCCAAAGTGGTCTTCCAGAAAAGCTTCCAGTCCAGCAACTCAGGAAGTGAGCATTTCGCTGCTTGCGGCTTTTTGAACATTGCCATCTTGGGTTGCCATTTGAAGGTTTGCTCCACCTGGGCGGGGGTGATGTTTAAATAGAACCCTGGAAAACGCGTGCGTGATAAGACGGCCACGCAACTGTGCGTGTCAATTCTCACGGCGCCTATTGGTTGGCTCAAGGAAATCCACATGAAATCATGTTTGGTTCGAGAAACGAAACGCCCAAACAGTTGCTGTGTTGAGATTGCCCTCATCAAAGAGCAGACAAAGCTGAAGGAAATGATTTGGAACATTCCTGCTAGTTGTCCACATGGCTGCAAGGACGCGCAAGGCCACAAAACAGGCGCAACACTCGAACACGCAGATTTTGCTTGCCACAGGAGTCGATCATTGGAATCTGATTTCCCCTTGTGGGAGCCCTTCTGTTCAGCCCAGTCCTTCACCAAGACGTGAGGCAACAACCCTTGCGGAATCTTCAGGAGAGCAGCTGAGATTCGTGAATGGCAAGACATGTGCAACTGGCCACTTTTCAAGGGAAAGACATACAAGGACACTGGCTGGAATTTTCTGAGCACACCGTCCTGTTGACTCAAGAGCGTGGCTTGATGGAAACATATGTTCAGATTCAGTTCCATGCTTAGCCTACTCTAAAAGGTAAACTATAGCTTTGGAGGAAACCCCAGGTGCGGCATCAGCATCAACGGACTGTCTGAACGCAAGGTTTCCTCCACCAGCCCGCACCTGCGCATAGAGGTAGGGAGGGGAGGGGAGGGGAGGGGGGGAGGGGAGGGGAGGGGGAGGGAGGGGAGGGGAGGGGAGGGGAGGGAGGGGAGGGGAGGGGAGGGAGGGAGGGGAGGGGAGGGGAGGGGGAGGGGGAGGGGGAGAGGGGAGGGGAGAGGGGAGGGGAGGGGAGGGAGGGGGAGGGAGGGGGAGGGAGCGAGGGCGAGGGAGAGGGAGGGAGGGGCGGAGTACTTGAAAATGGAAGGCAGAGGAAAGGAAAAACCGACGGACAACACAATCAAATTGGCTTTTCCAAAAAGGGATATACCACCCTTCCCACTAACATGGAATCTGACTAGGGGTTCCTGGAAACCAATATTCCGTGCAAAAAGGACAGCAAGGGTAAACCACCCAAAAAGGGGGGGCCTAGTTGGACATTAGTTGGACCCCTGCTATTGCACCTCATTGACTCATCGGCACAAACTACTAATTATTTCCACATAAATCCCCTACTCACTATGGGCGAGCTTGCTCCTTGCCAAAACCCCTTTCATAGAATTGAGTATGATCCAAAAATGTGCCCGCATCTGGGTAGTCCCGAGAATGAATAAAACAAAAAACAACAACGAATACCTGCCATCCACTAACGTGGAACCTGACTGGCGGATTTCGGAAGACCATTCTCTGCAAACCAGGTGGCGTTCTGCAGGTTCCATGTGGACAGGAGGCCTCCGTCAAGTTGAAAATTGTCTTTCCTGCCCAAACTGATCCCCTACAAGTTCCTCACTTTTAGTGCGTTACAATTATACACCCAACCACTAAACCAACCGGAAAAAACAAAAAGCAGCCTAAGGACCCGAATGGCCCGCAAAACTGGGAACCGGAGGCCTCCTGCTTGGCCCGGCGGTTGCCATCCAGCGTCAGGAGCCCCAGCTCCCCGCCGCCCGCGCGCGCGGCCGCGCGCGCGAGGGAGCGCTCGCGCTTGTGGCTCTCCTTCTCCAGGCCCTTCAGCTTGCCTCGGGCTCCGGGCGAACGAACGAGGCCGCCACGCCGCCGTGGTTTTTTTTCCTTGGGGGTTGGACCCCCAAAACGGCCGCAACGGCGGTCCTTTCGGTGGCCCTTGGAAAAAAAGCGACGGGACCCCGGCCAGTTCGGCGAGCTGGTTCTTTGTTGCTTCCATTTGCGGCGCAGTTGCACCCTGGAAGAACAAACCATGTTTCCAGTAGTGATAGAGTAGATTCCCTGTCAAACCGATAGGGGAAAATAAACAAATATTTGGCAAATGGAAGGTTGGGGTTGGACCTCCCCCAAAATGGCGCAACGGTGGTCCCTTGAAAAACAGCAAAAAAAAGGGGTACCAACTCAAAAAAGCCAGACCCATTCGGCAACTCTTTGTTGTCTCTGGTAATCCTTTGTTGGTGGTTTGGATTTGGAATTGAACCGAGGGTAAATGGGAAACCACTGTCAAACCACCAAACCACCAAACCACCAAACCACCGTCAAGCCACCACACCACCAATCCAAACCACGAAATAGGGATTACCTGACCATTTGCTTCGGTGACCCCATCTCTAGGTGGGATTCCTTTCAGATACGACCAAACAAAAATGATGGTCCTCCTCCATGTGCTGTTCGCCCCCTGGAAAAACACAATCCAGACAGTGTCACGCAAAGGGAAGCCAGTTACTAAGCCTGTTGCAATTGCAATTGGACGGGCGGCAGCCCTTGCTCGTAAAAAGCGGGTATTTGAGCAAGGCAACACCGGGATTGCTGTGATTGCCCGTGTTTTTGCATTGCAAGAACCAGTCAGCATGCTGTTTGGTATACCTCCCTGTGAAGGAAAGCCTCATGAGGAGTCCTTGCAAAAAGGCGGTGCGGGGCAAGCGCTTTGCATATCCACAACTAGATGTGTGCATCTTCTTGATGGGGTTTTGCCTTTCAGCTGCTTGCCCCCCAGAAAAGCATTGCCTCAGGGGCGGAAATCCAGTTCCTGGATGGTTTGCTCACTTCCAGAGTGGATTTGCCAAAACAAATCCGAGCTTTTGTTTACACTGAAATGAGTGTCCCAAAAAATAAGAAAGGCTTCCAGGAACTCCGGGAGTCAGTCTACTCTCGGATGCTTTCAGGATACCCTCCCACCAGCCCACATGGAAGAACAAAAAGGCACTTTCCAAGAGGAAAGTCGTCTTTCTACAAGGGGTCTGTGCACTTCCATGTTAGTTGGTGGGAGGGTAAAGTGGGACTGCTTGGGGAGGTTTTCTGCCAAACCCCGCCGCCGACTTGAAAGTAAAGCTGGCTCGCAGTCGGGCGGGAATCACATGTGTGAATCGGGGGTGTTCTGCGGGAAGTCGAGAGAAAAGGGTGGGGGTCCAAGTTGTCAAGGGGGGGAGGTATATCAATATACATACATACATACATACATACATACATACATACATATATATATATATACATATCTTGTACTGGTGTATCACGCCTTAAGCCTGTCTCCCCGAGGTTTCGGAATCCCAGCTCTTTGAAGATTTTGAGCTGAGAGAGCTGGGGCAGTGTCTCGGGTCTACTCCGTTTCGTCCTTCGCCTCGAACGCAAGGATGTCACACAGCGGATGGTTGCGATTTCCATTTCCCACCACGAAATGAAGCCATGGTTGCAATCATGACGTTTGTTGGTTTTTACAGGGGAACCCAATCATCCAGCATATGTTTGTGCCCTGCAATGAAGGGCACTTGCCGTGTTTTTGAATCGACGGCACTTAAGGCCGTGTCGGTGGCCTAAGTGACCCTTTGATTCGTTTGCCAAGTGCCCTTTTTGGCTTGATAGGGTCGGGATTCTGTTGAAATCGAACACCTACCCGTGTCGATTTGTGACTACCGCCACATTTGATTGGGGCCGACGCGGAACATGGCGTTTTGATTGTCAAAGCGTGTCATTTGAGTGTCAGTGGGGTGCGAATCGAGGGCGCTTACCCCTTAAAAAGGTCACGTACGCTAGTGTCGGTCCCGCCTGCGTGAGTGTCATTCGCATGCCGCTGCGGCTCGATTTGCCCAGCGTCGGTCCCCCCGCCCCCCCCGGCGTGAGCGTCATTCGCATTCACGTGTCGCTGCGGCTCGATTTGCAGGGGCTGAGGAGGGATCTGCTGGGAGAGCAACCCTGAAGGCCCAAGTGCCCTTGAAATGGCTTAAGTGACCTCTTTGATTTAGGACTAAGTGACCATATTTTCAAAATGGATCATAGCACCCAGAAAATGAATCGAGGGTACTGAAAAGAAGCTGGATTCCAAGGTTTCTTACTTGGTAGTTGGCAGGACCTGGCCAACGTCAAGCACCGCGGCATGACGTCCTTCGCGCTCGCTCAAGGAGCTGCAGTCGGACCGGGCCCCCAGCCGCTAGGCGTGTTGGAGCAACGAGCAACTCGGACCCGTAGCGTGGCCAACTGCAAGTTGCTTTTCGTTGAAGCAGAAGGTTCTTGGAACGAATCCAAATGACCCATCCCCTTTTGGTTTCCCTTTGGTTACATTCAGTTGGCCATGACAAGAGATGGACCAAGATCGGAAAACCAAAAGGTCAAACGGTCTGTGGAAGAAACCGCCCAAGAACCCCCCCCCACCCCCCACCCCCCACCCCCCACCCCCCGCCCCCCATCCCACTCCCCCCCCCTCCCCATTGGCCCCATTGGAGCCGCCGCCCCAATTTGCTGAGTTGCGCTTCTCGTTCTCCAGGGCGCCTTCCACCTGATGGATTCCAGGGAAGATGGATCGATCCACATAGTTTCGATGGGCGTCCCTTACCAAGCCGAAAAGTTGCGCTGAGAAAAAAGATCTTTCAAACAAAAAAACGCTAACACGAGCATGGAGTTCTTAGGGAGGTCCCTGCCCCGAAAAACACCCTCCTGAGTCCCTCAATCTGAGGTCCTGAAATCCCAAATGCACACACCGGCAAGTCACATTCATAAAGAAAGGGATGACGGTTTTGGGGCACTCCTGACCAAAAGCAAAGATGTGCAATTGAATTTGGGCAAGTAAGTAAAACCTTGGGCCCCAGGGGCATGTTGATCTCTTGCGCTTTCCTGCAGCCACCCAAGCCACCCTTCTGGCTGGATTGCAAGCCATTTGAAGAAATTGTCGCTCGTCTTTGGCAGGTTGAAAGGAACAGCCATTTGGGTGTGTCTTAAGATAGCCCCCCCCCCCAACCCCGGAACAAAAAAAAACAAAAACATGCTGCCTTTCGGAAGCAAATGGGGGGGTGTCCTTCTTTAAGGGTCGCATATTTTGTTCGTTCAGGTGGAAGCTCCCCAGCAAGAGCTAAGTGGTCAGGAATTTGCCAGAGAGACTTGCCAGAACCAGAAACAAAACAACCCCAAACCCAGGATGTACAATCCCGTGTTGACCCCAACTGGGCAACATGTTCAGGCAGACCTCATGGGCCATTCCAGGGTGGAACAGCAACATAGGGCCCCTCCCCCCCGAATTGGACTCCAATGGTAGGTGTTTCCCTTTCAGTTCCCTAGAAGGGCAGGTCAAAATATGGTGTTGAAATGGTCGGCCTCCATTTTTGGGCCATCTCAAACTGCTCCGTCTCCTTTTAAGGTTTCTGAGCTGTTCCACCATTCACAGCCGGAAATCAGGGATCCCCAGTAATCTTCACCGCCC